TCAGCGGCATTGCAGTGGTACGTATATGCATGGAACTAAGTGGACTCCAGGCATTGACCTTTACAGATTTTGTTTCAAACAATTAAATCTAATTTGCCTTATTTTATAACATGATTTCTTAATAAGGAATTCCTGTCATTCCCCGCTCTGGAATCTGATCACAACCGTTCTGAGTTACTGTGAGTTACTTTTTTTTAAGCTCAAATGCTGTGATACTAAAGCAAAATCTACTGCTCAATTGCTGGAGTGGCTTCCTTAATGTAATATTAATAGAAAAACAAAAAATGCTCAAATACTCTATATAAACATTAATAAAAGTTGCAAAATAATTTTACATATCTTTTTTCCTTCTATTATTGCTTCTTCTCCGGGAAAGTTTTGTACTTTTTACTTTATTCCTAACTAATATTTTTTCTCTATTTCACTTTTTTGTTACTTTAAATACTTTTAATTTAGCAACCTGATAGCTCTGCTCCCTTCTCATTACCTTCCATTCTGAAGATGGGTGTTACTTAATTTTTGTTAAAATGTGGTATCTGGACTTAACTGAAGGTTTGGGAATTTCAGAGAATGCTTTTGCGTGCTTTAGGTTAACTCCAGAGTGTGCTTTATATCGGGTTAACCAGCTAAAACCACTCAGTTTGCCATTGAAATACTGTCTGGCATGTTTCCTGCTCCTTGCCCATCTTGGACTATCCTACCTATTAGGGCTTTGGTTTGCAGGGTTAACAGGAGCTGAGTGGGAAGAATTCTTGGCCCCGATGTTCAATCTGTCCTTCCAAGTCTTGCAGATGAGCTGAGGTGGCTAGGCTGTTATTAGCAGTGCCTTGGAGTCCTGGGGACCCATCTGGCTCAGACACCAGGCTTCTGAGACATTGCAGAAGATCGAACTGATTCTGACATTCCTTTGCCAAACATGTCACTTTAGAACCAGTTCAGCTCCAAGGAGACGAGACCCTGCTTACATCACAAGGAGGATCTACAAAGACAATTATAAACAGCTAGATTTAACTTGCACGTGCAAATATTACATATTTGTCGCTTTCTCCTGCATACAAAAGGACATCAAACAGATAGGATTTTGGAAAGATTATAGTGCATTGTTGTCTAATTAAAAGTGAAAAGTAATTAGATCCATTAATACCCTTGCACCCTCCATACCTCGATTCTCTCAATTTATTCTCTCACTCTATTCTATTTTTCTCTCTCTCTCTCGCTATTGTGTCTCTCTGTATCCTCTCTCTCTCTCTCTCTCTCTCTTTATTTCTTCATCCAGTTGAACGTCAACAAGACATTGGCTCTTCTGCTTGATTCCAGTCAGCACCTTCTCACCACAGGTACTGACAGCATCAATCTCCATGGATGCACACGCCACTTCATGGAACCAGCATGGAACCTCGATATCTTGTTCGACTCTAAACTGTCCTATAAATCCTGCATCCTTACTCTGAACCATTCAGCTTTTCTCCACCTCAACATTGCCTGCATTTACCTGCACTACCTCCTCTTGGACGTAGAGACGCTTATTCATGCATTCATCATGCACAGGCTAGACTATGCCAACTCTCTACTCATCAAACTTTCCAACTCTTCCCTCCACAAGCTGCAGACCATCCAGAAATCTGCAGCTCATGTCCTCTCATGCACCAGGCTCCACAAGCCTATTAACCCTATCCTCGCCCAGTTTCCACCGTTTTCTCATCCGCTAGACTAGCGTGGTCCAACAGGTGGCCCGCGGGATACAACCGGCACGGAGTATGATTTTGTCCAGGTTGCAAATAATTTCTGACTTCACTGTTTTACCTCCTGGCTGTGTCTCTCTTCTGGTAGATCTCTATGAAGCACTGCAGAGACAATGACAGGAAGGGTGGGGGTGTGGTGGGAGTTATCCATCCCCACCCCTCCCTGTCACATTTTGCACTGCCTCAAGCTTTGTGTAACCTGGTGAGACGCAGTGAGCAGCAGCAGGAGTATTTTGCAATTCTAAATCTACACAACCTTGAGTCTCAGTAGGAAACACAAGGTAGATCTGGAAAATAGAAAATTTCAGGGTTAGTGGGAAATGGATTATTTGTTTAGCGAAAATAATGGAAAACTGCAAGGCGTTGTTTGCTAGCAAGCCATATTGTGTTGAAGAAATTCAGAGTTAAGTCTCAATTATGGATTAATCTGTTTTTGTTTAGTATTCTCTGTAGGGGCCTCCACCTGCTTAGTTGATATCTTGTGTTTTGACCTTGATACATTAACAAAAATTGATTCATATTTTTCCATTTGAGCTGATCATTATTAAGTAATAGTCACACAATTTAAAACATAGGATTTCTGTATGATTCCTTTATGTTTCTGGAAGGGAAAAACAAAAATGTTACTTATGCAGTCGGCAGACATTTCTCAAATGTGACCTCTGGCCCTCGACACCCAAAATGTTGGAACACCCTGATCTAGAAGATTGAGTTCAAGATCCTCATACTCACTTTTAAATCCCTCCACCAGCCTACCTCTGTGATCCTTTTAAACCCTATCAATCCACCTGCTCCCTCCGCTTGGTATGTACAGGCCTGCTTCACATCCCTGTCCAGCCCACCCCATCATTGAAGTCAGGTTTTCTGCCTAATTGCCCAACTCCCAAGACCTTCCTGTTTGACCATGCCGTCGATCATCTTCCCCGCCCCCAGCCCCACCTCTTCTCAATCCAACCGCCAGCTAGGGTGCAAATCCTTGATCGTCCAGTGCCTTGGTACATCCTTCCAAGTGAAAGGCGCTACATAAATATAATTTGTTGTTGTTATTCTGTTATTGTCATTCTCTCTACTATTGTTTTTCTCCAGTCCCTCACTCTCCCTACTGTCTCTCTATTCTCTCAGTATTCTTTCTCTATTCTCTCACTCTCAATTGCATTTATCTTTCTGTTGGCTCTCTCTATTTTGTATTGTATTGTGCTTCTATTCTTCCTGTCTCTTTCTATTCTCTTCTCTCTCTATTATTTCTATCTCTTTATTGTCTCTATTCTCACTCGCTTTATGGTTTTCATGCTCTCTCTACACTTTCTCTTGCTCTCTATTCTCATTCTCTCTTTTCTGCATCTAGTCTTCATGTTCTCTCTATAGTTCTTATTCCCTCTCCGTCTATTTGCACTCACTTGTTCTCCCCTATTCTTTCTCTCTTAATCTATTCTCCCTCTCTCTTTCTATGGTTCTCCTTCTATTCTCTCTCTGTTCTCACTGTCTCGATTCTCTTTTCTCACATTTCTCTTGATCATCTTCTCACTCTCTTTCTCAATTCTCTTTCTGTTCCTCATGCTCTCATGTATTCTATCTCTGGTTCTCAGTATTTCTTCCTCTCCATGTTTCTCTCTCTCTGGTTGTCTCTCTCTCTCTCTCTCTCTGTTTTTTTTATAACAATCTATTCTCTCTCTGATTCTCACTCTCCATCTCTGCTTTTCTTTCACTCTCCTTTATAGTAATCTCTTTCTGGTTCTCTCTCTAGGGTTTTAACTCTTTGGTTCTCACCCTATCTATCTCTCACTCAATTCTCAATTTCTATGGTTCTCAGTCTCTCTCTGGTTCTCCCTCTCTATTTTTATATAGTTTTCTTTTTTCTCTTTCACCTTCTATTCTTTTTCCCTTCCTCTCTGGTTCTCACTCTGTGTGTGTCAGCCTTGCTCAGTTGTTGCACTCCTGCTTTAAGTCAGAAGGTTGTGGGATCAAGCCCCATGTCAGGACTTGAACTCATAGTCTAAGATAATAGTAATAATATAATAATCCTTGCATTTGATACAGTGCTTTTCACGTCTTCGACACATCTTAAAGCGCTTCACAGAATATACTGTAAAGTGAATTGACACTATATTTGTGGGCAAAATGCAGCAGCCATTTGCGCGCAGCAGTGTCACTCAATCCAGTTATTTTTTTGAGGGATTATTACTATTATAATTATTATTAGATAGTGTTGGCGTGTGTTCCATTGTTGGACGCGTCGTCTTTGGATGAGACGTTAAAACAAGATCCCATCTGACTGTGCAGGTGGTTGGCAAAGATCCCATGGCACTATTCGAAAAGAGACGGGGGAATTCTCCCGGAGTCCTGGCCAACAATTCCCCCATATAAAATTGTTCACTCACTCCATGACTGTTTTTGTGAGATGTGCCGCATTTCGCTCACAAAACACAAGTCAATCCACTTATATCCAGTATATCCCGTAAAGCTCTTTTGAGACGTCTCGACGTGTGAAAGGCCCAATATCAAATGGAAGTATTATTGTTATTTATTATCATTTCTTCTTTTTTCTCTTTCTCGCACTTCTTCCTGTGGTTTTCTCTCTATCTCTCTATCTCTCGCTCTGGATTTCTCTCTCACGCTCTCCAGTTCTCTGTCTCTCTCTCTCTCTCTCTGGTTCTCACTCTCCGCTGTTCTCTCCATTCTCAGTCTCCGGTCCTCTCTCTGTGTGTGAGTGAGTGTGTGAGTGAGTGAGTGTTTTCCCTCTTGTTTCACTCTCTCTGGGTTTCTCTCTCTCTGTGTGTGATTTCACTGATGTTTTTCCTCTCTCTGTTTGTTTCTCTCTCTGTCTCTGTTTTCTCTCTCTGTCTCTCTCTGTCTCTCTCTACTCTCTCTCTCTCTCTCCCTGTCTCCCTGTCTCTCTCCCTGTGGGTTCCCGTGGTAAGTGCTGTTGCTGGTGGTGGGGTCGAGTCAGAGTGTAGTCTCGCGTGGCTGGCTATAGGGGCTGGCGGTCAGGTGCAGTGCGGTTGAGCGGGTTGGCGGTTGAGCGGGTTGGGCGGGTTGAGAGGGGGGTGTGTTGGGCGGGTTGGGGGGGGTGTTGAGAGGGGGGTGTTGGGCGGGTTGGGCGGGTTGGGGGGTGTTGAGAGAGGGGATGTTGGGCGGGTTGGGGGGGTGTTGGGCGGTTGGGCGGGTTGAGAGAGGGGGGGGGGTGTTGGGCGGGTTGGGCGGGTTGAGAGGGGGGTGTTGGGCGGGTTGGGCGGGTTGGGGGGGGGAGGGAGGGGCAGAGCGCGGTTCCCACCCTCCCTCTCGCGAGGCCTGGAGTTTGAGCGAGAGTTGGCGGAAGATGGCGCCTGTTGTGACAGGGTGAGTGTCTGAGCGTGTGGGACACCAGCGCCCGGGCCGCCCCGCGCCCCCGCCCCCGCTCCCCCCCACCCCGGGCCTCCCTCCCCACCCCGGGCCGGCCCGGGCCCGGCCCCGCACACAGGCAGCCTGTCCCCCCCCCCGCCCGCCCAGGGGGGCCCGCGGCCCGGGGCCGGGGCCGGGCGGCAGCTTCTTTTGTTTGTCTGTGTGTGTGTGTGTGTGAGAGAGAGAGTGAGAGCGAGAGAGTGACTCGCGCTGCCCCCCAACTGCCCTGAGCGGCGATCCCAGTGCGGCCCCGGGACAGCCCCGCGACTCCCCCCCTCACCCCCACCCCCCAACCCTAACCCTCACCCCAACCCTCACCACTCTCCCAACCTCACACTCACTCACACTCACTCACACACTCCCCACTCTCCCCACACTCCCCCACTCACTTACACTCACTCCCACACTCCCCCACTCCCCACTTACACTCACTCCCCCCCTCACCCCCAACCCTCAACCCTCACCCCAACCCTCACCACTCTCCCAACCTCACACTCCCCACACACACTCACACACTCCCCCCACACTCACTCACACTCACTCACACACTCCTCACACTCACTCACACACTCCCCCCACACTCACTCACACTCACTCACACACTCCCCCACACTCACTCACACACTCCCCCCACACTCACTCACACACTCCCCCCACACTCACTCACACTCACTCACACACTCCCCCCACACTCACTCACACTCACTCACACACTCCCCCCACACACTCACTCACACACTCCCCCCACACTCACTCACACTCACACACTCCCCACACACTCCTCACACTCACTCACACACTCCCCCACACTCACTCACACTCACTCCCACACTCCCCCCCACACTCACTCCCACTCACTCCCACACTCCCCACACTCCCCACTTACACTCACTCCCACACTCACTTACACTCACTCCCACACTCCCCACTCCCCCCCCACTCCCACACCCCACACTCCCCCACTCACACTCACTCACACACTCCCCCACACTCACTCACACTCACTCACACACTCCCCACACACTCACTCACACACTCCCCCCACACTCACTCACACTCACTCCCACACTCCCCCACTCCCCACTCCCACTCACTCCCACACTCCCCCACTCCCCACACTCACTCCCACACTCACTTACACTCACTCCCACACTCCCCACTCCCCCCCACTCCCACACTCCCCACACTCCCCCACTCACACTCACTCTCACACTCACTCCCACACTCCCCCACTCACTTACACTCACTCCCACACTCCCCCACTCACTCACACTCACTCCCACACTCCCCACACTCCCCACTTACACTCACTCTCACACTCCCCCCCCCCACTCCCCCACACTCACTCCCACACTCCCCCACTCACTTACACTCACTCCCACACTCCCCACTCTCCCCACACTCCCCCACACACTCACTCCCACACTCCCCACACTCCCCACTTACACTCACTCCCACACTCCCCACACTCCCCACTTACACTCACTCCCACACTCCCCCACATTCACTCACACTCACTCCCACACTCCCCCCACACTCACTCCCCCCTTCCCACTCTCGCCCACCCTCACCCCCACTCTCCCACTCCCACTCCACCACTTACTCTCTCCCTCACTCCCCCCTCCACCACACTCCAGCTCCCCCCACTCCCCCGCCCCCACTCTCACACCCCCCCACTCCTGCTCACCCCCACCCATTCCCGCACCCCCATCCCGCCACCCGGGTCTCTCCCCACCCGGGTATCACCACCGCCGCCCCCCGAGTCTCTCCCCGCCCGTCCCCAGGTCTCCCCCCCCCCCCGTCTCTCCCCACTCTCCACTCCGGGTCTCACCACCGCCCGCCCCAGGTCTCTCCCCCTACCCCCGTCTCACCCCCTACCCCCGGTCTCACCCCCGCCCGCCCCCCACAGGTCTCTTCCCCGCCCCTCCCCCTGGCTCTCTCCCCCAGCTCTCTCTTCCCCCACCCCCGCCGCTCCCCCCGTCCCCCCGGGTCTCTCACCCCGGCTCTCTCCCTCTCCCCCCACACCCCCACGGCTCCTCCCTCCCCCCCCCCCCCGCTCTCCCCCCTCCCCCCTGCTCCCCTCTCTGCCTCCCCATCACTTCCCTCCCGATGTCCGCCTCCCCGCTCCCCTCCCTTTATTCACCCCTTCGCTGTGCCCACCCTCCCTGCTCCCCTCACTCTGCCTGCCACCCCCTGTTCCCCTCTCTCTGCCCAGTCCGGCCTGCTCCCCTCGCTCCCCCACACCGCTCCCCTCACTCTCCCGCCCACCGCTCCCTCGCTCTCCCCCCACCGCTCCCTCGCTCCCCCCACCCTCCCCTCACTCTCACCCCCACCGCTCCCTCACTCTCACCCCCACCGCTCCCCACACCGCTCCCTCACTCTCACCCACGCCCCCACCGCCCCCTCACTCTCCCCCCACCGCTCCCCTCGCTCCCCCACACCGCTCCCTCACTCTCACCCCCACCCCCCCACACCGCTCCCCTCACTCTCCCCCCCCGCTCCCCTCGCTCTCCCCCCACCGCTCCCCTCACTCCCCCACCGCTCCCCTCGCTCTCCCCCACCGCTCCCCTCCTCTCCCCCCCCAACCGCTCCCCTCGCTCTCCCCCCACCGCTCCCTCGCTCCCCCCCACCGCTCCCTCACTCTCACGCCCACCGCTCCCCTCGCTCTCCCCCCCACCGCTCCCCTCACTCCCCCACACCGCTCCCCTCACTCTCCCCCCAACCGCTCCCCTCGCTCTCCCCCAACCGCTCCCCTCACTCTCCCCCCCACCGCTCCCCTCACTCTCACCCCCACCGCTCCCCTCGCTCTCCCCCCACCGCCCCCGCGCTCTCCGCCCCCCGCGCTCTCCGCCCCCCCACCCCGTCCCGCCCCCACTCCCCGCCCCCCTCTCCTCCGCCCCCTCACTCTCCTTCCAAAACTATCACTTTTTCCTGTTTTGCTTTACGGCCCCGGTCGGCACTGCTTTAAGCAACACAGCAAAACGGGGCCCCTTTTGGAGGAAAGGCACATCTGGCTACTCATTACCCAAACCAAACGCATCAACCTACTGCCTGTAGGAAAACAAGCATGCTTGTCTCCATCAGGGTATCAGTAGGGAATTGCTGCACAACTGTTTCTGCTCTCCTGGCTTTTTGTTGCCCTCCCGATAAAGTAAAATAATGTTGTGGAATATTTTGCAATTTTCATAATCTGCAGAGTTTATGAATTGGATACTTTGTTTTTTTTCAATCGTGTATGAAATATTGCATAAACTTATTTTGATTAATAATGTCACTCCTGTTGTTGGCCAACACTATCAGATGTTTTTAAGTTATTGACTTTGAAGAAATGAAGATTCATAAACTTGATGTATTGAAGTGTGCAGTGGATGTAATGTAGGCATCATAGTACAGATGTTATATCATGCCAAAACTTTTTTTTGCAGTTTGTCATTTTTATATAACTGACACTTAAGATCTGATAAACTTGTCAAGGTTGAATAGGCAGCCTTGGTAGCTCAGTTAGTTATAGATCAAACCTAGAATGGACCTGGAAAGTTATGAGATCAAATTATTTTTGAGATGATTAAATTGCTGAGGCAAAAGTTCTGTTCAGTGCTGTGTGTAGCCTTCTCAACTGTGTGACTAAAATGGGAAATTTTGTAGTGGCTCATATCAGCAAAGGCGTGTAAAGTTAAAAAAAATTATCCAAAAATGCCTTGCATGTGGGAAGGGTGAACAAAGTTAAGCGTAAAAGAGGAGTTTCCCTGGGACTGAACTGGTTCAAAGGAGATGAAAAAACTTGCAAAGTACATGTTGATCATGACCATAATTAATCCTTCCATTTGATGTAGCTCCTTTCGCATCTGGGGATGTCTGTAAAAGTGTTTCATAGGATATACTGTGAAGTATAATGACTGCATATTTTATGGGCGAATGAATCTCATCAATGACACTTGATTGCAAAGCTCAAATAAGTACTGTGATTGCAGCTGAACACGCACTATGAGATGCATCAGTATTTACTAATCATTAGTATACAGACTGAATTATCTGTGCACACTCCAGGATAAAGTGAATAATGTACTTTATTATATTCTGTAATCACTACTATGGATTTAAAATTTTGGATAAGATGATACTTTTGTGCTGCTAGGAACATGTTCTGCCTTTAGAATATTTTTCCTATGTGCATTTGAATCTTAAGTAACTAAATCCACTTGTTTCCAATTGTGTTATAAGGATATGCTTGCTTTCACTCTTAAAGCTAATCTCTCTCTATGGTACATCTCATAACAATCCCAATTTGTGATTCAGATTTGAGTCCTCTCTCAAGCAACTAAACTCTAAACTAATGATAGTTTGGACTGCTCCAGTTGATGTTTTACTCTTTCCATAAGTTGTAATATTCAATGCAACATTCATATGGTACAACTTCATATACATTGTTTTTATGGTTGTATGAAGTTATGTATTTGTAGGATTGAACAGTAACAATACAATTTTTTTCATTTCTGATTACCCAGTGTTCGGGGTATCGAGTATTTTAATCCAGGGTGTGATAAGTATTGTGTGAAAATGTTACACCAATGTTAGATGACAGTCATTGAACTGGTTGTGGTGTGAAAGAACTGTAAATTTGCAAGTAACTCAAGTGTCTGAATTGACAATCATATGTAAAATTAATTCTATAATACATGGTAATTAGTGCAATTTTATATTGTTTTTTGAATTTCAGTTTTGTGGACATGTAAATGCTGTTTCAAATGTTGATGAGGCTTCAGTATCTGTTCCGCATTTCTTTGTTATGACCTCCATACATGTGGCGATACTCCAGAAGGAGCTGTAGGCATTAGTTAGAACAAGTGCATCAGAGGAAGAAGTTTCTCTTCATTGGAGTAGCTGAATTCAAATTCTAGAGTTTTGTGGTTCTGTGGATTAATCAGAAATTATGAATTTGTACTGGGAGAAACTTGTCA